CATCATTATGAGAGATGAAATTAATGTTTTGAAGGAAACAGTAACATTCTGAGAATTATTCTCCTTTATGATAAGAGAGATTAGATAGTAAACAGAGCTGCTAGCCAGCACAGCTAAGCTAACAATTCAGAACTAGTTTGGAATCAGAGTTTATTGATTCTGACGGTTTTATTAACGTTATTGCTTAATTTGTTTTGTTTTGAGTTCAAACAAAAGAAACCTTATGGAAAAACATGTTTGTGGATCCTAATGAAAAAATCCCAGTCCTTCCATCTCTAATAAGTTTGATGGTCTTAAATACATTTTTCTAAACTCACCAAATTTTAAATGTGTTCATTGTGTTTGTTCCTGCTCATTAATATTCATTTTGTGGAGAAATTCTGGGAGAAGATGATAAATTGACAAATCTTTAAGAGTACTTTTAAAATCATGTTGTGTGTAGACAAACATGATTCATTTTTTCATTTTTCTCTTTAGTAATACAAGAATCATTTCTTGGTAACTGTTAATCAAAAGCAGAGTGGCTGGGTCTGAAATAATAAAATCCCGTTTTCCGTTCTTCTAACTTTTGACTTTCAATGCTAATTCATAGCAGAGAGTCAGAATGATGAATATATTTAGATAATTTTCCAACAGGAGAGGAAAAAGAAACGGACAAACAGCAGCTGCTTCCTTGAGTCTGTTTAAAAGTTTCTGTGAGCTTTGCCCCATTTTGAGAGAGCATGCAGGAACTCTGGATCCACCACTGGCCTCTGCAATGAGAACAAAACATAAATGAGAGACGGACAATCGGAAAAATTAGTTGGAATGCCATTCAAATCTAAAAATAAAAGGCAGAGCAAATCAGTTATCCAGGTTGTTCTGGAAAAAAACCAAAACCATAAAGAGACAGACTTCATCAGGGCTTCTTAAGCCAACATTTTTATCAACCTTACAGTGGGAACAGCAGCTGTGATTTGAACTGGTGAAGGAGTTCATGGTGAAGGCGAGACTGACTGCGTTTCCATTGACCATGTGATACACAAATTGGACTTATGAAAACACATTTTGGTAAGTTTCATAGATGGAAAAAGACCAATTGTGAGTTTGATAAAAACTCAAGTCTTTTGATGAAAAGTCTTTCTGTCAGGATGAGATAATATTTCAGCTGCATCCTAATTGATATATTTCACAAAACTGTAATGGAAACATGTTTTTGCATCACGCTTCATGTTAACAGGATGTAGGAAGATGATAATGTTTAATGACTTATTCTTGCAAAAAAAACAGATTCACAATTGTTTCTTATTTAATAAAAATAACACAATTACAAAATTGTGATTTTTGTGGATTTTACAATATCTGTAAAGTTTTGCACAAACTTGCTACTAAAACACAAAAAGTGTTTTCTTTGCCATGAAGTCAAAGGTAGTTGAATATGTCAAAACCCATTGACTAACATTATGTTTCTATATTATTTGGAATCAGAAAGCAGCATTTACTCATTGTTTGGGCTGTTATAAAGCCTGACTGATGGTATTTAGGTTTTCCGGCTTTTTCTTTTGTTCCACATTTCATATCTTGTGATTGGCTGCTAGACAGTGCATAATACAGATATGATATCTAGGTCACCGTTGTCCCAATATGGAAGACAAGTTTGCCGCATGATAACCAGTAATCCACTTTGCTCTGGCTCCAGCCTGACCGCTGACCCCTGCTGACCTCCGAATTGATTTTTCGCATGAATTGAAAGCCGTCTCAGATTAAGCCGAAATATCAGAACGGAAAGACGACGGGAGGGAGAGAGAGGAGCAAAAGGAGACGGAGGAGGAGCAGAAGCAAAGTGATATTGGAAATTTGTGAAAGGCTGTATTTAGCCAGAGGAAAGATAGATGACTACAATGACTTACTTTGATAGAGCATCTGTAGAATAGCAGGACAAAATGACGAAGGCCTTGTGAAAATCTGTAATTTAATAGCCTAATTTCCTGCCTGGCCTGGCAGAAATAGCTGCCTGACACTGACAGCTGATGAAAATCCCAGCCAGCACACCTAGGTGGGCCCCATATGGGATATAAGTGGGCAGGCAATATGGGTCCCAAAAGGGTTTGTCCACGGTTTCCATGGTGGCCCCACATGGGTTTGCCCAAGTAGATTTTAATGGGTGCTGACTGGGTTTTCAGTGGGTCCCACATGGTTAACTCACATGAGGCCCATCTGTGGCCCACTAGGGTGCTGTCAAGAATTTTACGTGGGTCCCAATTGGGTCTGAACTGGGCTAGAATATGGGTACCAAGTGGGTTTGTCCACGGTTTCCATGGTGGCCCCACATGGGTTTGCCCAAGTAAATCTTTATGGGTGCTGACTGGGTTTTCAGTGGGGCCCATGTGGTTAACTCACATGAGGCCCATCTGTGGCCCACTAGGGTGCTGTCAGGAATATTTACGTGGGTCCCAATTGGGTCTGAACTGGGCTAGAATATGGGTACCAAGTGGGTTTGTCCACGGTTTCCATGGTGGCCCCACATGGGTTTGCCCAAGTAGATTTTAATGGGTGCTGACTGGGCTTTCAGTGGGTCCCACATGGTTAACTCACATGAGGCTCATCTGTGGCCCACTAGGGTGCTGTCAAGAATATTTACGTGGGTCCCAATTGGGTCTGAACTGGGCTAGAATATGGGTACCAAGTGGGTTTGTCCACGGTTTCCATGGTGGCCCCACATGGGTTTGCCCAAGTAGATTTTAATGGGTGCTGACTGGGTTTTCAGTGGGTCCCACATGGTTAACTCACATGAGGCCCATCTGTGGCCCACTAGGGTGCTGTCAAGAATATTTACGTGGGTCCCAATTGGGTCTGAACTGGGCTAGAATATGGGTACCAAGTGGGTTTGTCCACGGTTTCCATGGTGGCCCCACATGGGTTTGCCCAAGTAAATCTTTATGGGTGCTGACTGGGTTTTCAGTGGGGCCCATGTGGTTAACTCACATGAGGCCCATCTGTGGCCCACTAGGGTGCTGTCAGGAATATTTACGTGGGTCCCAATTGGGTCTGAACTGGGCTAGAATATGGGTACCAAGTGGGTTTGTCCACGGTTTCCATGGTGGCCCCACATGGGTTTGCCCAAGTAGATTTTAATGGGTGCTGACTGGGCTTTCAGTGGGTCCCACATGGTTAACTCACATGAGGCTCATCTGTGGCCCACTAGGGTGCTGTCAAGAATATTTACGTGGGTCCCAATTGGGTCTGAACTGGGCTAGAATATGGGTACCAAGTGGGTTTGTCCACGGTTTCCATGGTGGCCCCACATGGGTTTGCCCAAGTAGATTTTTATGGGTGCTGACTGGGTTTTCAGTGGGTCCCACATGGTTAACTCACATGAGGCCCATCTGTGGCCCACTAGGGTGCTGTCAAGAATATTTACGTGGGTCCCAATTGGGTCTGAACTGGGCTAGAATATGGGTACCAAGTGGGTTTGTCCACGGTTTCCATGGTGGCCCCACATGGGTTTGCCCAAGTAAATCTTTATGGGTGCTGACTGGGTTTTCAGTGGGGCCCATGTGGTTAACTCACATGAGGCCCATCTGTGGCCCACTAGGGTGCTGTCAGGAATATTTACGTGGGTCCCAATTGGGTCTGAACTGGGCTAGAATATGGGTACCAAGTGGGTTTGTCCACGGTTTCCATGGTGGCCCCACATGGGTTTGCCCAAGTAGATTTTAATGGGTGCTGACTGGGCTTTCAGTGGGTCCCACATGGTTAACTCACATGAGGCTCATCTATGGCCCACTAGGGTGCTGTCAGGAATATTTACCTGGGTCCCAATTGGGTCTGAACTGGGCTAGAATATGGGTACCAAGTGGGTTTGTCCACGGTTTCCATGGTGGCCCCACATGGGTTTGCCCAAGTAGATTTTTATGGGTGCTGACTGGGTTTTCAGTGGGTCCCACATGGTTAACTCACATGAGGCCCATCTGTGGCCCACTAGGGTGCTGTCAAGAATATTTACGTGGGTCCCAATTGGGTCTGAACTGGGCTAGAATATGGGTACCAAGTGGGTTTGTCCACGGTTTCCATGGTGGCCCCACATGGGTTTGCCCAAGTAGATTTTTATGGGTGCTGACTGGGTTTTCAGTGGGTCCCACATGGTTAACTCACATGAGGCCCATCTGTGGCCCACTAGGGTGCTGTCAAGAATATTTACCTGGGTCCCAATTGGGTCTGAACTGGGCTAGAATATGGGTACCAAGTGGGTTTGTCCACGGTTTCCATGGTGGCCCCACATGGGTTTGCCCAAGTAGATTTTTATGGGTGCTGACTGGGCTTTCAGTGGGTCCCACATGGTTAACTTACATGAGGCTCATCTGTGGCCCACTAGGGTGCTGTCAGGAATATTACCTGGGTCCCAATTGGGTCTGAACTGGGCTAGAATATGGGTACCAAGTGGGTTTGTCCACGGTTTCCATGGTGGCCCCACATGGGTTTGCCCAAGTAAATTTTTATGGGTGCTGACTGGGCTTTCAGTGGGGCCCATATGGTTAACTTACATGAGGCTCATCTGTGGCCCACTAGGGTGCTGTCAAGAATATTTACGTGGGTACCAATTGGGTCTGAACTGGGCTAGAATATGGGTAACAAGTGGGTTTGTCCACGGTTTCCATGGTGGCCCCACATGGGTTTGCCCAAGTAGATTTTAATGGGTGCTAACTGGGCTTTCAGCGGGACCCAGATGCCTTAATCCTGTAGGAACAATTCTCATCTAACCTGGATGTGAATTACATTCATAGATATGCAATCTTGATCAACAATCCAAAGTCTAGCTTAAAACGTGTTCAATAAAAATAAAAAAAAAGAGATGAAAAATTTATTTTGCTCAAGGCTTTTATTTAGTAATTTAAAATATTGTCAGGAGTTATTTTTTACCTCACTACAGCAATTATTAGAACTTCATTAATACTCAGGGAATGGTGCCACAAAAAGAAATCTGCAATTATTCACGACATCTTTGAAATAACAGAAGCTAGTTTACTATAACAAACTTATAAACAGATCTATAAATATATATCTATAGATGCACACAAATAAAGACACCTACATATTTTCCTACAGGTCTATAAATGTATACATCTAAATACTATCTATATAACTTTATACACGTATATTCACATTGATACACACAATGTGAATATACACACCTATATAGATCTTTCACAATACATTTTTGTTAAACATTTTTAAAAATAACCTACATGCCATATGCATGCTTAAATTTGAAATCTCTCATACTTTACTGAAACTGTCCATCTTGAAAGACCTCCCCAACCTGAGTTTGAACTGGCAGTCTCTCTAGTCTATTTCCACTTCCACTCGGGCTCCAGTAAACCACTTCGAGAGTCTTTGCTGTATGCTTGTGTGATTCTGTAGATGGATAATTTCTTTTAAGTCCCCTGAAATAACAAGCAAAGGTAGAAATTGTATTAGTGTTTCATTTTAGCACAATGTAACATTCATGAGATTTGCATCTCCCCCTTCATGGGGCAAAAATGCTTGCAGAGATATGCCATAATCAAAAGGACTCTTGAGTCATCATTATTATGTACAGAAACTATATTCTTACTGTAAATTTAAAATATATCCATCTATATAAATCAACTAATAGGTTCTATCGTGGTTTTGTGGTTATTTTAATATTGTTTGAAATGCAAACAATATTACCTTCAAATTTTTAAGTTCTTAACAACAGTGAAAGAATACTGTTCAAATAAAACCAAAAATTGAAGACTCAATTTTTAACCTAAAAACATTACTAAAAATAACAAACAAAAGCATAAAACAACCAAAATAAATTAACATATGTTTAAGAAAGAAAAGTGAAAAAAAAAAGTTACTCTGACAATAAAAACTGATATTTACCATACAAAACATCAAAGAGACGCAGGTCCAAGAGCTTGTTTCCAATGTTGGCCAAAAAGGTTGAACTGGACTTCCAGTTCATGGGACATGAGGAATCGCACAGCTGGTTGTATTGTGTCATCTAAGGATGCTCCTCCAATTTCTGTAGCCATGGCAACCTTAAGTACAATGACAATAACAGGACAACATTTTGTTTTTGTTCATCAGTTTGTCATTATATCACTCTTATGTGCTTAATTTCACTAACATATTAATCTACCTTTTTCAAATCATTATAAAGTGATCTTCACACGCTGATCCTCTTGAAGCCTGCAAAAATATATATTTTATTAGTGCAATATAACATTTAGACTTTTCAAAAAAATAAAAAATTAAGGCAAAACAGCCTTGTATAGATTAACTACTGAAGCCTTATATTGTAAACACTGAACAGTTTTGCAATTATCCTAATTTCTTTGTTAACGTGACAGGACTAAGACAGTAGTATTACTCTTAAGAGAAGTTTAGAAAAATCACTATAAATGTAACTAATAAAGCCTAAAACATTTCACATATAAAAAAATTAGAGCTACAATTAAATATAAGTACATTTCACATAACTGCTAGCTAAATATTGCAAAAATATCAAAAAATTTCTTCATCTTTCAATATTTGTTTCAGGCTTGGCCACTGATTGACATGATGGGTTTCAATTTACGGACCCACATGCAGTAACCACACGTTGGATAGGGATGAGTGAGTGATTTATTTACAACAGGACAAAATAAAATCTATTTCCCGGACATCAGCGGAAGGGTGAGGACCACTCGACCAGGTTGGCCTGAAACGAGAACTTAGTTATGACGGGCTTAGAATGACTGATCGGCGGGGAAACAGGAACAGGCTTACTTCGGTGCGGGTCTTTCGAGGCGTGGGTGTGAGATGCCAGGTTCCTGAGAGAGGGTGTGCAGCGGTTCCGAAGGTAAATGCGAGGTGGGAATGGAAGAGAGCTGGAAGCTCGAAGGGTGGAGTGGAGGCAGTGGAATCGGCGGAGCGAGCACGCAGGTATTCACTGGTGAGTTCTCGAATGAGGCGACAAAACCCCTAGGATCGAACAAACACAGAGACCAGGTGACTTCTAGTAGACACAGAAACGTTCTCAGAAAACTGTTCACAACAGGAGAGGCCAGAGTGACTACCGGTGTATGCAACCATCTAGCATACACCAGTAGAATCTTCAGTCAATCTAGCGTAGACTGAAGATTCTGCTGCTCCTCCACCTGTGCCAAGCTCCACGGGCTCCTCACAAAGATCCTCACTGAAATAAGATGCGACACTCACATACACACACAGGAACCCTGACACTGATGACTACTCTAGACCAACACAATAGCGGCAGATTGAAATAAACTATGACATAACAAAACGCTTTAAAGTGTCACACAACAATTAAAAAAAAATTTAAAAATATGAACTACAATGCCTTCATCCTATTTACAAAAAACCTTTTAGGCCCAATATACTGAAACCACATGGGCCCCATATAGTGTTCCCATTTCTGTCCCATGCCCAGTTAGCCCACGTTAATGCTGAATTGGGCCCATACATTTAACCCAATTGAGCCAACAATATGAGTCCCATTTCGGTTAACCTTTTGAGCCTCACGCAGTTGGCCCAGATAAAACCCATGCCCTCTTATCATTACCTATATAGCCCAAAGCTAAACGATTCAATGCAGTTTTATTGAAAAAAACGACAATAATAATCTTGCATGGGTCCCAGCCAAACCAGCCTGAATCCATACATGAGACCCACCCATGCATGCTGATGTGACTGTGAGAAAGATTATTAAAAGCCCAAGTACATAGAATGAAAGCACAATAGTTACTCTTTTTAAATCATACAAATGGTTTTATTGTGTCCAGACACTTTGTAACAACCTCTGCTAGCAACATAGATTCTTCAGTGAACCGATTTCATTCTGCCTCGTTGGCGCTCAAATGAACCAATGGCAGCTCAACAAATAGAATGGCTGCGGTATTTGAAAATGGTTTGGCCCACAACGCTGCGTTTGAAATCGGTCTGCACTAAAATCTGCTTATTGTGTGTAGCTGTGTGTGTTAGCAATATCAGAAAAGTATAACCCTAAAGAAAAGCAAAATAACAATAACAATTAAGTCTCTTTTGGGATACTGTCGTCCGATTTGTTACGAGCAACAATTTTTTTAACAAGCGATTTAAAATCTCTCCCTAAAATTTGGTACTAGGTAAAACAGAAGAAATGTACTTACAGATTCTTTCGTAGATCAGCCAACAGGCAGACTCCGCGCCAACGGACTGATGAAGAGAACAGGCTTGATTTTGAAACCGCATATCCATCCGCGGGTCATTTTACGTTTTCCAAGAAACACAAGATTAATTTTTGAGAGTGCTACATCGGTTTAACAAATGTAAAACCGATGTAGCAAAAGTTCTCAATGTAAATAAATACATTTCGTTGTCCTCCTTATTCAAATATGTTTTGGAACTATTTTCTTCAGTGGATGTGTAAAGTGCCTACCGGTACTTCAATTCACCAACCTTTATTGGCAACGGTGCCTCAGAGCAAACAATGAACAAAAAGGTAATTGGAACCAAATGAATCATTAACAGAAATGTTACGTTTTTTTATTTTTTATTTTTATTTATACTGATGACTTGGAAAATGTTTGCAAATATATGAAAAAACAGATGCTCAAATTTTACTCTTGTCTCTCACTTACTAATGAGTTTTGTTTATTTTCTAAACATTTTGTGATATTTTTCACAATGGTCTGATCTGAACTATTTGTCCAAATAAAAATTTAAATCTTGCTGCGAACAGGCTGCAGTAAACTCTATGGATGTCTAAACATCCAATTGATAAAAAAAAATAATAAAAAAAAATAAAAGTTAATATTATTAAAAATAAAACAAGGACTAAAGCTCAACCATGACCACTCTGTGCTTAATTTTGAGTAAGCACCAGAATATGAGTTTACGTATATATTTCAAAGATTATTTCAAAAAAATGTTTTAAGACATTCAGACTGCAATAATAAAATGAAAAAAAAGTTAGGGGTTCAAAGTGTAGCAAGAGCAATACTGAACTGGCTTTTGCTTTGACATACAGTGAAAAGTTTGAAAGTGACAGGGTAACCACATTGTCGATTAAAATGTTCTACAATTTTGTCCCATTTAGACCATGAAAAAAAGTACTAGGGGCTACATTTTCCTGCCCAGGTCCAACCCATGTATGGTTAGCCCATGCTCATGTCATGTTAGTTTAATGTGGACAGCCCACATTGGGCTTCTCATGTGGGGCCCATGATACTGAAACCACATGGGCCCCAAATAGTGTTGCCCATTTCTGTCCCATTTCCAGTTAGCCCACATTGTTGCTGAATAGGGCCCATACATTTAGCCCAAATGGGCCAGCCCATACGGGTCCCATTTTAGTTAACCATATGTGTCCCATGAGGTTTGCCCAGATAAAACCCATGACCACTCATTACCCATATGGCCTACTACAAACCCAAGGGGGGCCCACTCATGCGTACTGGCTTGGAGACTGGACTGGACTGTTCTAGCATAAAATAATAACATGAAAAATGTTAAGGGTTCAAAGTGTGGCTAGAGCAATACTGAACTGGTTTAAAAAAATAAAGCATTGTAGAATTATTTTTAATGTTTTAATATCCTGGTCCTCTGGAAGCCTAGTGTTTGTAAATGAGCCAGGCATAGATATCACACAGTGAACATGTTTTAGGTTCAAACATTAGGAAGACATGGATGTTCTGTTCTATCAGCAAAATATATCCTTGGGTGATCTCCAAGACGAGGTCACCTTCGTCCTGGAGACCTCGACAATGGTCAAGGTCACCAACCTTTACTATCGTCGAGGTTTCCTACAAGGAAAAAATTAAATTCTACAATTTACCTTACATCAACTCCATTAGAGGCCAGCTGAGTAACAATTGCCTTGGCAAAGACTATAAAGCTGACATCTCGGGTAATTCTTTCCAAGTTTTTTGAGAATCTTGCTCTTGCAGCTTTTGCTTTGACATACAGTCAAATTTTGAAAGTGACAGGTTAACTACAGGGGTTGGACAATGAAACTGAAACACCTGGTTTTGACCACAATAACTTATTAGCGTGGTGTAGGGCCTCCTTTTGAGGCCAATACAGCATCAATTCGTCTCTGGACAAGTATGGGGCCAAGGGAATGCCATGATATGGCAGCCCACACCATCAATGATCCACCCCCCATGCTTCACTCTGGCATACTACACTCTGGCTGGAATGCATCTTTGGGGCTTCTCCACACCGTAACTCTCCCGGATGTGGGGAAAACAGTAAAGGTAGACTCATCAGAGAACAATACATGTTTTCACATTGTCCACAGCACAAGATTTCGCTCCTTGCACCATTGAAACCGACGTTTGGCATTGATACGAGTGACCAAAAGTTTGGCTATAGCAGCCCGGCTGTGTATATTGACCATGTGGAGCTCCCGACGGACAGTTTGGTGGAAACAGGAGAGTTGAGGTGCACATTTAATTCTACCGTGATTTGGGCACCGTGGTTTTATGTTTTTGGGATACAATCCGGGTTAGCACCCAAACATCTCTTTGAGACAGCTTCGTCTTGCATCCACAGTTAATCCTGTTAGATGTGGTTCGTCATTCTTGGTGGTATGCTGACATTACCCTGGATACTGTGGCTCTTGATAATCACAAAGACTTGCTGTCTTGGTGAACAATTTGCCCTCTTTTGAACTCCAGTATGTCCCAAATAATGTTATGTGCATTGCAATATTTTGAGCAAAACTGTGCTCTTACCCTGCTAATTGGACCTTCACACTCTGCTCTTACTGTTGCAATGTGCAATTTATGAAGATTGGCCACCAGGCTAGTCCAATTCAGGCATGAAACCTCCCACACTAAAATGAGAGGTGTTTCAGTTTCATTGTCCAACCCCTGTACATTGTTCTACAATTTTGTCTCATTTAGCCTACTTCAAAAAGGACTGGGGTCTACATATCCACACCCAGGTCCAACCAGGGCGTGGATATGTACTGCCCACACTGAACCCACAGTGGGTTCACTGTGGTCAGCCCACATGGTCTCCCCATGTTGGGCCCATGACATGAGCCCATGCTCATGTCATGTGGGTTCAGTGTGGTCAGCCCACATGGTCTCCCCATGTTGGGCCCATGATACTGAAACCACATGGGCCCCACATAGTTTTGCCCAGTTCTATCCCATTCCCAGTTAGCCCACTTAAAAAAGGACTGGGGCCTACATATCCACACCAGGTCTAACCCATATATGGTCAGCCCATGCTGATGTCATGTGGGTTCAATGTGGTCTGCCCACATGGGCTTCCCATGTTGGGCCCATGATACTGAAACCACATGGGCCCCACATACTGTTGCCCAGTACTATCCCATTCCCAGAAAGCCCACTTAAAAAGGACTGGCCTACATATCCACACCCAGGTCTAACCCATATATGGTCAGCCCATGCTGATGTCATGTGGGTTCAATGTGGTCAGCCCACATGGGCTTCCCATGTTGGGCCCATGATACTAGAACCACATGGGCCCCACATACTGTTGCCCAGTACTATCCCATTCCCATATAGCCCACTTAAAAAAGGACTGGGGCCCACATATCCACACCCAGGTCTAACCCATATATGGTCAGCCCATGCTGATGTCATGTGGGTTCAATGTGGTCAGCCCACATGGGCTTCCCATGTTGGGCCCATGAAACTAGAACCACATGGGCCCCACATACTGTTGCCCAGTACTATCCCATTCCCAGATAGCCCACTTAAAAAAGGACTGGGGCCCACATATCCACACCCAGGTCTAACCCATATATGGTCAGCCCATGCTGATGTCATGTGGGTTCAATGTGGTCTGCCCACATGGGCTTCCCATGTTGGGCCCATGATACTGAAACCACATGGGCCCCATATACTGTTGCCCAGTTCTATCCCATTCGCAGTTAGCCCACTTAAAAAAGGACTGGGGCCTACATATCCACACCCAGGTCTAACCCATATATGGTCAGCCCATGCTGATGTCATGTGGGTTCAATGTGGTCAGCCCACATGGGCTTCCCATGTTGGGCCCATGATACTAGAACCACATGGGCCCCACATACTGTTGCCCAGTACTATCCCATTCCCATATAGCCCACTTAAAAAAGGACTGGGGCCCACATATCCACACCCAGGTCTAACCCATATATGGTCAGCCCATGCTGATGTCATGTGGGTTCAATGTGGTCAGCCCACATGGGCTTCCCATGTTGGGCCCATGAAACTAGAACCACATGGGCCCCACATACTGTTGCCCAGTACTATCCCATTCCCAGATAGCCCACTTAAAAAAGGACTGGGGCCCACATATCCACACCCAGGTCTAACCCATATATGGTCAGCCCATGCTGATGTCATGTGGGTTCAATGTGGTCAGCCCACATGGGCTTCCCATGTTGGGCCCATGAAACTAGAACCACATGGGCCCCACATACTGTTGCCCAGTACTATCCCATTCCCAGATAGCCCACTTAAAAAAGGACTGGGCCCACATATCCACACCCAGGTCTAACCCATATATGGTCAGCCCATGCTGATGTCATGTGGGTTCAATGTGGTCTGCCCACATGGGCTTCCCATGTTGGGCCCATGATACTGAAACCACATGGGCCCCATATACTGTTGCCCAGTTCTATCCCATTCGCAGTTAGCCCACTTAAAAAAGGACTGGGGCCTACATATCCACACCCAGGTCTAACCCATATATGGTCAGCCCATGCTGATGTCATGTGGGTTCAATGTGGTCAGCCCACATGGGCTTCCCATGTTGGGCCCATGATACTAGAACCACATGGGCCCCACATACTGTTGCCCAGTACTATCCCATTCCCATATAGCCCACTTAAAAAAGGACTGGGGCCCACATATCCACACCCAGGTCTAACCCATATATGGTCAGCCCATGCTGATGTCATGTGGGTTCAATGTGGTCAGCCCACATGGGCTTCCCATGTTGGGCCCATGAAACTAGAACCACATGGGCCCCACATACTGTTGCCCAGTACTATCCCATTCCCATATAGCCCACTTAAAAAAGGACTGGGGCCCACATATCCACACCCAGGTCTAACCCATATATGGTCAGCCCATGCTGATGTCATGTGGGTTCAATGTGGTCAGCCCACATGGGCTTCCCATGTTGGGCCCATGATACTAGAACCACATGGGCCCCACATACTGTTGCCCAGTACTATCCCATTCCCAGATAGCCCACTTAAAAATGGACTGGGGCCTACATATCCACACCCAGGTCTAACCCATATATGGTCAGCCCATGCTGATGTCATGTGGGTTCAATGGTCAGCCCACATGGGCTTCCCATGTTGGGCCCATGATACTGAAACCACATGGGCCCCATATACTGTTGCCCAGTACTATCCCATTCCCAGATAGCCCACTTAAAAAAGGACTGGGGCCTACATATCCACACCCAGGTCTAACCCATATATGGTCAGCCCATGCTGATGTCATGTGGGTTCAATGTGGTCTGCCCACATGGGCTTCCCATGTTGGGCCCATGATACTGAAACCACATGGGCCCCATATACTGTTGCCCAGTTCTATCCCATTCGCAGTTAGCCCACTTAAAAAAGGA